ACGAAACTTGGTATGTGGATACTAATCCATGGTATCTTCAGGGTTTTTTCAATTTTGATTTTTAATGGTAATTTTCCTGAAAAACCTGGATTAAAATTTAACTTAATGTTATGGTCGTTATAACCCAAAAGAAAATGGTACAGCGCCCAATGCTGTAGAAATTGCAAATATTATCACTTTTTGCGATTTTCCCCTATAAAATATCATATTTACACCGCTTATCCATTATAAGGGTTTTTGACAAGCTACTAGGAGAAAGTATTAGTTTGCTGATACCGTTTGTGTAAGGGTTCCACTGGCTGGCTGGTAAACAATGTACATAATGTAGAATGTATGATATCTTAAATATGTGGACCTTAAAATGTATTAAGAATTCAATTAATACTTGTAGAACCCCGTCGAAATCGACGGTTAATCTTGAGGTTTTATGTAAATTCAGCTAACTGCGATAAATAGAGTGAAGTCATTAAAATCTTAGTTAAATGAAGGGAGGATAGACATAATAATAAGTATGACGATTGTGTTCCCTAAAAAACGTGATTGATGAATTCGTTTAACACAATATTTCCTACCTTTAGGAGTCTTATAATTGTTTGTTCATGAGTTTGTTTCATGTCAAAGCCACTTTCACTATATGGGAGAATGAGTTCATATAATTAGTCTATCATGTTACGGAAAGAGTCAATATTTATTACTAAAAACTAATTCAATCTGCTTTAGGGAAATCTTTCAGATTGTATCCGGATTTATAAGTAAATCTTCATCTTTGGTCATAAAAATACAGAATTTTATCAGCATATTAAATCAGTTTTTTTTATTTGATAAAAATATCCGATTCTCTACAAAGTAGTAAGATTCTTACTTCAATCTAAGCAATTTTAATTCCTTCTCTTGCCACATCGACCCATGTATATAATCATCCTGTTCTTACTTGATAATTCATTAAGTTATGGGATTGTTTCGCCTTGGCCAGATCGATAACATAAAGCTGTGCATGTATTTCGTGGATGGAATGAACCATAATTGTAGGAAATTTGATCACAAATCTTGTACATTTGCGGAACCAAATCCATAACCTAGTCCAGCCTTGGTAACAAATTATGCAAATAAGATTAGATGTGATGACACTGTTGTGTTTCCGAATGCTTTGAATTGTATGTAGTGAGGTTTAGATGCGTTGTTACATGTGTACAGCAAAGTAAAAACCCTGTACACATTTTTTAAATACGTGAATTGACCTTAGTTCACCTTCTTCACCAAAACCATAGATGAAACATACTCCGTAGTTAGTCTATTCCAAAACTTGAACACAGCTCTCATCCTCAACGTACTCATCTATGACACAATTTTTAACCCGAGTGTCGAAAACTTTTATACCAATAAATAAATTTCTGGTATACTTTCTTAAATTCAAAAATAAATGGTAATTGAAAGTAGGCAAAAAAGGCAAGTGCCAACCTTACAATATATATAAGCTAATCCGATAAGGAATAATTATGTTCCTTTAAAATTGATATGTCACACTTATTTCATAATTTAACATTTTCTAAGAGCAATAAAGCATATATTTTTTATCACAACATTTACAACGTATCATAAATTCATCATTTTGTTGAAAATATAAAAAAACTTGCCATGCAGTGGAGAATCAATTTAAAATCATAAATAATAATGTAAACATTTAATTTTGACAGTTTCAGTAGACCTTAGAATTCAATTTTAATATTAACAGCAGGTTCATTAAAAGTAGTGTAAAATTATCCATATGGTCGTAATGTAAACAAAATTGCTGAGTGAACTTTAAAGGCCTCTGGGGCAGAGTCTCAAGGAAATTTACCTCGTTTCTCTTTTGAGGGCTCACCTACAGATCAATACCTTTCTTTAGACACCCCTTTCTACACCCAGCCGTTCTCTCAAATTAGCTGTGACTAAAACCCTGTTTTCCTCCATAAGAATAACATGGGATGGGACTTTAAAGGCCACTGGGGCAGAGCCCCTAGGGAATTTACCATGTTTCTCTTTTGATGGCTCATCTACAGACCAAGACCTTTCTTTAGACACCCCTAACGAGTTTCTACGCCCAGCCGTTCTCTCAAAATAGCTATGACAAAGAAAAACAGTTTCAAATTAATATATAGATTATAAACTATAATTTTTTTTAACAATGTGCATTATTTAAAACATTTTTACCTACTATGAGCAATTTAAGTAGTTGAGCCTTTAATTGTGCAACTTATTTAAAAGTTTTTTTGTTTGGATTATTTTACTAACTCAACAAATCCCCTAAATTTTAAGAAAAAGTTAAAAGTGAACTGTAGAGTTACAAAATAACTACCGGGTTTGAGCTGAGCGAGGAGGCAAATCAAATTTCAGAGCAATATGGAGATAAAGGACCGACAAACTCAAACTCCATTTGCTGGGTAGGGAGGGGGAAGGGGGGAATTTGTAATCAATGTTGTTGTCAAGTTATTCAAAGCTTTCCCTGTTTCATGGACGCATCTGCAAAGATGAATGCGACTTTTTTGAATGACTCAATTTGTTTATCCTATTTTGGTAAAACCCTACAGAATATATTCTGAAAAAAAAATGTCCACCCATAATACTTTAAAATATATAGTTTTCCGACAGTGTAAATTGTTTGAACAAGAGGAAATTAGGAGGAATTATTTGAAAAGAAAATTTTCTTGATCAAGAAGTTATTTAAAATTTTCTTGTAATCAGGTATTTTTTGTTTTTGTTGGTACTCTAATAGTCAAATAACAGAAAAAATATGGAATATCAACTTAGTTGTCATTCCTTAAAATATAAAAGAACCTGAACTATTTAAAGTTGAGTAAGAAAATCCTAACTGTTAACATTACCTATCTATTAAAGATAATTATATAGGTTTAGTTTATTTACGTAACCATTCACTGTAAACTTTATGGTACCGATACTTGTAAGGTTTATGTTGTATACAGTATATGGCTTCCCTACAAAACATAAATACACATACCGGTAGTCTAAGATTCTTTTTTTAAAATATTACGATTTTTAGTGTAGGTACTTTGAAAGTTAATGTGATGGTTTGAATATTCAATTCAACATTTCTTTACTAATCCTCCAATATACATGGACTTCAACTTCAACAATAACTTTGAACTGTATTAATTCAATTTTTAACTTTTTAATTCCAAATTAATCATAAAACTAAGTCTACAATGTTATATTTGGAGGGTAATTTTATATAGAAGTAATCAAATCTACTCACGAAGAACATCAAATTAGTGACTAGCATAACACAACCAGAACAGGTAAAACATGACATATGCATTTCAAACAGAGGATATTCATGCAAATGTAGGATACATATTCATGTGTTTAATGTGGCATGCACACGTTTTGCCAAAGAACTATGTGTGTTTGTCACATTTTGTCTCCATTATTGAGGTACCGTAATGGTTTTGGTAATGCATGTAGGTTAATTTTCAACATTAAAATATATATTTTTCTGTGTTGTTTTGTAAAATATTTATTGGTATGCTTATAATATTTTATTTTATAGTATTTTATTTTTGTTGATGTTTTACCATAGATTAAGCATACTCCCCCTTTTACTTTTCGTTCCATACATATAGTAGCCTAAATGGAGAAATTATATTTTTTCAACAGCATTTCTGAGTTTGAGTTTTGGGTAGAAGTATCCGTTTTGGTATAGACTACACCTGGCCATAACCTGTAACACTGTAAGTTTTTTCGGTTCAAAAGTGATCTACTGTTTTTGTGATTTTCCCAAACAAAAACATAGTCACTCCTGACACTTACCCTTTAAGGCGGTGACACATCAACATCTACCGCGTAACATTACATTACGCTACAGATGCCAAGACACACCGCGACAGACATCTTTTAGATATTAAAAAAATACCCCCGCCGCAGCAAATCTGCAGACTAAGTGAATTTCCATTTGCCTGATTGGATTTAAAATGTCATCATTTTTTACTAACATGTCTCCTAAAAAATATCACATTTATTCCCTATTTAAAAAGAATTAGTTTGACGAGTTCTTGAAATACCTTTGAATATTTCAAGCAAAATTTTAAAATTTCGAAAATTGAGGTGATTGGATTGTTTATTGGTTCTAGAGGAACATTATCAAAATTTTTTGTGAACTTTTGGAAACAATATGATTTGGACAGATCCTTTTTGAAAATTATTATTCATGAAACATTAAGAGGTTCATTGGCCATAATGAGAAATCATCTATATGGAAAACATCAAAAATTAATCAGTCAGCATTAATAACATTAATCTCTAACATTAATAATCCTTCGATATTTTATGTTTACTATTTTTCTGTGTCTTTGGCAACCTTATTTTTTAAGGCAGAGGTATTTATTTTTACAAATAAATTCTTTTCTCTAGGTTTGCTGCAAAAGCGAGGGTAAAAGTGTTTTTTTGTAAAATGTTAATAGTTTAGTAAGAAATAAATGCATTTTCCAAATTTTATCAAAGTATGTTCATAAACAAGCAAACTACAACAGTTTACTTATTCTCCATAAGAATAACATGGGAATTTTAAATTTACAATTTTTTTGGAATTTTCTCTGTAACCATTAGGTGCATAATAACGCTTCAATATACTAAATTATTTGTTTTTTGGGTCAAAAATGGGAAAAACCAATTTTTACCCATAAAACCCCTCATAAACCCCTGTTTTCATAGTCCGATCATGGTGGTTCACAAACTCGTTCGAATAATGTAGGTTTACACGTGTATACCAAATTTCATCAAAATCGGATCATTTTTGCTCAAGTTATCGAGCTAACGGACACAGATATATATATGAATTTGAACGGATGGTGTTTTTGCCCTCTAGGGACCTGAAAATGAAAAAGTAAATCGGTCTTGTCCAGGTCTTACCAAAAGCTTATTCCCTATATGGGAAATTCGCTAAAAGGTACTAATCTATTTTTAAGAATGGAGTTTCAAGGAAAAGGAATCACGACAGTCAAACAACATTAAAATTAATATAAAATATATTAAATACATATTTACACAAATTTACAATATAGCCATACATATAAATACATGGGTATAGCGTTTCACATACTACAAAACATAATTTCTGAAAGCACCTTTTCTTGTAAGTATGGTTAACATTTGTACAAAATAAAACAATTTGGAGGAACTCCCGAAACTTATCAGAGATTTATCACAATACATGTCTTAATTAACACACTGGTTGTTATTTGTACATACACATCCATTCTTTAAAACAAAATTGTACAAGATAAATGGATGAAAAAATTACTAAGTTTGTTAAGAATTTTTTGTCTAAAATTTTGACTGATACAAATTTTAGTGATTGTTAGTGTTTAGTTAGTCGGTTACAATTATATTTTTTATTTCTCATCTCAATCAACCACTTAATACATGGGACATTGTAAGGAGTATTAGGATATACATTCATCTATTTATTGAATTGTATTTTGCTACATTCTCCTTGTCCATTTATGACATGCATTACGCATTATCACTAAATAACATCCAGTGACTGAGAATTCTTATGTTTTGACTCTTTTGATTGTTTTCAAGCTAATTTATTGACTTAACTTTAACAAGAAACACTGTATTGTTTGTGTTTTGTTAGTCATGTGTCAAAAGTCTGCAAGTCCATCAGACATAAATAATTTTTAGCAAAACTTATCTTAGAACCTTCACTTACTTAGATCACAAGAAGTGAAATTGAGAAAGAGAGTGATAGTACGTCACTCAATCTATTTTTCCTGTTACAGATTTTGCAAGTTGTTTTTTTTCCTATCAAGGCATCAAAGACAATGACACATAATTTAAGGATGTTGGTATGAACAAGTTTACAAGTTGTATCACACTTTGACATTCTGACAAGCGGCAAATCAACATCGAGGCAGTCAAGCAGTTTACAAAATAATTTATTTATTTAATTTCACTAGACTAGCCGTCATATCTATTTACACATTTGATTGCTAGTTAGCTATGTTGGTCACTTGATCGCAAATACACATCTGAACACATCTAGTAATCATATAAAAATGTACAAAAGTCACTCACAATACAAAACTATCACAATACTTTGCTACAACTATGAATGACTGGGGAGACACGAATCCTCGTACTTCTCCTCTTGACTAAAACCTCTTCATTCATTTCAGAATATTTAGTCATGAATATCCAACTATGGCTAGTTTTCAAAACCAGAAAATTTCAATATTTGTTTGAGTGAGCAAAAAAAAATCTCATGAACAGTAATACTTAGTATGAGGCAATAAATGAACCGGTTGCCTCATTCTCACACTTGTTGACTATTCAAAGTAAATATAATCTATTGAAGGCTGAGAGTGGATATGCCAGTTTCTATTGTTCAAATACAGACATTTAGTTGTGCCTTAATCTTTCACTAAAGGAGAAGACTTTTTACAAGTTCTGCACTCAAATTTTCAGTCTAGATGTTGAGTGAAAAATACTTTACAGCTTGAACCAAATATCTTGCTCACCTAATGCGTAACATTAATTATCTTAGGATCAGCTGATGTCAAAGTAAACTTACGTAAAAAATACATTTCTCTCAGTCTAATCATAAAAGATTTAAGGGTTGACGTAAACAAGAGTTTAGTTTCACTTGGTATTGTCCATAAAAAATATACAATCAAAACAAATACTTTAAGGATGACTACACACTTATTTAGACAGTGTTTAAAAATATAGGTTACGTTTGTAACATTCGCTTTAACACCTTAATATATAATGCTGGTACTGCAGTGAATGTGATGTCAACAGTAACACATATTGTTGACAGGTTCAAACGGTGTTCAACAGTAAGTGTGGTGTTCAGTGGAGACTAGACAGCCGAGGCCAACGCGTGTCAATGCCACTTGGACTTCTGTGCGAAGATGTCAGCTCGTAGATTCTGCGAGAAGCAGATGCCGATTATCTGTAATAGTGATATGGTGAGTAATAAAACATTTTTTTATCAAACAAAATGCACACTTTCGTTTAGCTTTGTGGGCAACTAAGCAATGTGAAGAAAACAATCAGGGTGCAAGAATACTTGAAAAATGTAGATATAATTTAGCCATTTTAACATTTTGGTAAAATAATTGCCTTACTTTTGAGTTGGTTTGAAGTTTGAACAGAGCCAGCCTTACAGTAGGTATGTGCAAAGGGACACAGGGCCCTGCGCTTTGGGCAAAAACATTAAAACAACAGACTTGGCAAATTTTGTTTTTGAAAAGGCCCCAATAACCGTTGCTTGTTCTATTTTTGTAGCAAGTTAAAAATCACAATTGCTGAACATGATCAAGATGTTGCCCTCACAAAAGTCGCTGCAATTGTATAAATCCCTACAATTTTTACCAAGATCATTAGAGAAGATTATGGATATTGCCGTGATCGCAGAAATGCATCCTACGAGCATGAGCAACAATATGGCGATTGGTAGGAAGAACTATTTAGCAGTAAGACACCCGCTCTGAGTGTTTGCACAGGGCCCCGCACTACTTAAGGCAGACTCAGGGTTTAGTATAAAAATAGAGAGCTAGCTTAGCTGCTATCTAAAAGTAGGTAAATTTACCCTGAAAAAATTGAAGAAGATTTGTTTAGTTCAATTGCTGATATTGGCTATAGCATGTGATGTGAACAGAGGTCAATTGCTTTGACATGAGCTGTCAGTGCCAATTGTTGCCTGTGTATTAGCTTGACAGCCTTTATGACCGCTTCTTCCCAACACCTTAGAATTATTTTTGTTTCAAATTTGCTCTGTAGATATCAGCAATTAGTACACTTTCTACAAAACAATTATTTGGCCAGTTCTGCTGGTTTTCCAATGGTTTCTGAGCAGCAAGAACTGATGTAGAATTTATCAAAAGACTGTGAACACACAGTTGGCCCCCTGATTAAGTCAACATGAAAATAGTCTTTCCAGCTGCTAAGAGTTAGTAATTTAATTTAATACCACATGCTGTGATACATCTTCAAATGATTAAGCACTGTTATCTTTTTGATGGTTAGAAACTTAAAATAGCTACCCTGATCATTTGGGCATTCAATAAATAAACTTGGGTAAAAAACCCAACAAATATTTTATTCTTAGTAAAAAGGCTATCATATGATATAACACTGGTTTAGTTTCAATTTTTTCCTTAAAATATGCACACTGGTATGCCATCATTCAACTGTCATATAATACAAATACAATACAGTACAAGGATATAAAACAATAACGTGCAAACCAAAACATGCGACATACCTGCAGGAATGTAACTATAAGTCCCATGGTACATATATGGAGAAGATTCCGTTCTATCCACTCCTCTCCTGCTTGCACACATCCCTTCTCATTTATGATCTTGGATGCATCAAAGTTCTGGCAACAAATGTTAAACTCACCTGTTAACTTGAACGGAGAACGGTATTCCACCACCCTTGTGACACTTGATCAACCAAAGCATGCACACAACACCCCATGCACACATGCTGTGTTAGTAAAACTAAGTTAGAAAGAAAGTCAAGAAATGCCACCCTTGTCTTCAAGAGTCTTTCTTCATAATATGCTGTACACTTCAAGGTGTGATAAAATCATATTTTCTGATTTGTTATAAAGTACCCATTAGTTGACATTATTAATTACAGCATTGGGTTTAATCAAAACAAATTTAACAATGCTCGACCAAATGCACAACCCAAATAAAAAGTTAATACAGCTACAGTAATAATTTATGAAAATGACAACACCATGAATTTAGAGCTAGGAGGAAAGCCTTTTTTTACTATTTGTAAATAGATTTAATAAGTAACAACTAGATACAGAAGCACATGACTCAAGCTTTTATCATATCAAGTAAATGTGAAAACTTCTAGGGGAAGAATTGCAAATTTAAAGACTAAATCCCATTTTTAAAAGCAAAAGGTGTCATTTGGTACAAGCTACAGACCATGCCATGTTCATGTACACAAGAAAATGCTGTTTTGCAGTAAAAAGTAAATACATAATTTCAATAGACTCTCAATAATCTAACTCATAGGGCCAACCTTTTTTTATATTCACAATATACTAGAGCTAAACAGTACAATGGATTAAAATTATTTCGAAATCAAAGGACATCTGAGTCATCTCACGCAGTATATATCCGTTGATTTAGGAAGTCAGGTTCAATGACATATTCATATTATGTCATGAATGTCTACTAGGCCCTGATGTGTGTTTTGTAATCATAATGTTCACAATTTCAGAGCAATTTCCAAAATTTCTATGAATGAAATGTGCTTTATATGTAGACCTGACAATCATACTGCCCCACAGGTTTGGTTAGTCTATAGTACTTGTTAAACTACTGAGAGCCTATTGCACTGCTGCACCACCAGGTTAGCAAGACATGTTAGTACCTGAAGCACTACACTTGTGACCATAACCACTAGGAGAGGAATGAGGTTATGCTCCACCCACTCCTCCCCCGCCCGCCAACACCCCCGCTCAAATATTTTGTGTTCCCCGCTCTGTGCGGGGGACAGGTTCGTCCACCCGTCTGCAAACTGCCAAAACAGTACAGCGTTAATCATTCAACTTACATAGGTACTCGTGCTAGTTCCAAAATGCATCTAATTTTCTGCCTATGAACTAAAGCTTCAATGTGGGTTTCTTAGATGATGCGATACTTTGAGCAAAAGAATTTCTCATAAAAACTTTGGCATTGTCAAATGTGATTAAAACATGCAAAAATTTACCGATTTGCGTCAAATTTGATGTCAAATCAACAGAAACGCTAAAAGAAACCAATTATTGCATTGTTTATTTTTTTGTAATATTAAATCAATTACTCATTGCTATTAGATTCCCTTATGTAAGTTCAGTCTGTGGCAGTAAATAGACCAGCTATTGCACCAATGAACAGCTCAAATCTTACACCACCAAAAAATTTAATTGTTTTTGTTTTAGGGCTAGGCTCAAACCCCAGGCCTAAGGTTACTTGTCCACAAGAATAGCAAGGATGAAGGATGCAATGGTAGGTCCTTGTGCTATGTTACATCGCTTCTCCTAACTAAATTGAACATTTCAAGGATTCAATGTAAATCCAATGTAACAATTAGATACAAATAATTAACACAGAAGTCTTATACTTACATATCCAGGTTTGCGGACATCATATCCACATTGTTTGTTTTTTATAACTTCCTAAAAAAGATGAAAACAATTATTTACAGCTAAGCAGTACATTGAAAGTGAACTTAGATCACCCTCTGAAGCTTCTACGAAGGGTTGTTATACTTTGGTGATTTTACACCCTTACTTAACAGAAGGTGAGAGGCCTTCCCACCAACAATGACTCAGAGGTGTAACCTCAGTCTATTTCAATGTTTCAATCAATACGGTTACATAGAAAATATCTCCTTATACACTGTACTATGTAGTAAACCATATAACACGACTACCGGTACTAACACTTTGAAGAGGGGGAAACAATTTAACAGTGTCAAAGCAAACGAAGAGATCAACCAAATTTTCAATTAGGTCTAGTATTTAAATTTTTCAAACTGGCGCCAGTTGGGAAAAAGTCTAGAGAATGTTGTTGGTACAGTTAAACTTCATTTAACAGTTTAATCCAGTACTTTGAAGTGCAGACATTAGTTTTGTTTGAAACACAAAAATACAGATGATGACATCTTTCCATTCAAAATACAGTAAAAGCAGTAAAAGTTACAAACATTACAGTAATTACACCATCACAAGTAATATTTTGATCAGAGCATTTTTCAAAAGCTATATTTTTAAATGTCAATTTATTTGCTTGATCAAACTATGTTCGAAAAGTCCAATAAACTATCCCTAATGTTGCCGAACATATTTCCTTGTTTAAGTAAAATATAAATTAAATAAATATTTAAATTATGTACTCTTGTAATACTAAATTTTTTTTCAATTAAAATATTTACAACTTACATTGGGTTTTCTTTTGCAACAAGAGAACGGAACTCCGCAAGCTTCTCTGCTACCAACGTCCCTCGAGGAACAATTGAAGTAGTTGTTTCTGTCCCAGTCTTTGGGCCCCTCGATACCGCAACACTGCAACTGTTCAACAAACCAAACTTGGAAGGTTAAAGTTCAACAAGAGGTTAAATCTGAACTAGTTTGAACTTTTTTTATGAATACTTGTTTTATGAATATTTTTTTTTTCTATGAATACAATCATTGTTTTAAAGTTATTGATAATAATTATATAGTAGATGTCCACAACTTTTGCAATCAATTCGGGTAATTTTTATGTTAGCAAGCAACATTATACAAATAGTTTTTAAGCGATCTTAATAAAATTATTCATGTCTTAAAAGCGTGAAAAATGTAAATAAAAAAATTATATAAATCTCGTAATTAAAGACCGTAATTAAAAGGGTTTTAAATTTGACAGTGTGTAAATGATTGTGAAATTTCAGTGGGAAGAGTGAGGTTTAAGTTTGGGCTTTCTTTAACTTAGCAAAGAGGTATAAATTTGATTGTTGAAAGTGTGAAAACCAAAATGCAGTGAGGCCAATATCTAAAGCTAACAAACTCAAAAATACCCTGACTTAATGTGTTTTCCAAATTTAATAGTTTTTCTTTGTAAAAAACTTGACGTGTAACAAATCAATCAAGCTATTCATATGGTTTTTACCTTAAAAATGCAATTTTGGAAAAGTATATATATGTTCTAAAAATCCAGAGAAATGGAAACAAAAGAGTTTTTATATACCTTATTTGTGATTTGAAAATCAAATACCTGTCATAAGTTTTTTCAAAGCTTTGATAAATTATACAGAAAGTACTGTTCTCAAAGGTTTGCTTGCTTCTTTTCCAAACTGCTCTATTAATTACTTATCTTACAATTTCACCAGTCACTGCAGAACAGTTAAACAATTTCATCTGAACAATTTCACTTTTATACACTATTTGACTTCATCTCAATACCGGTATCTAATAAGTTTTAAGGAAATATTTTGTTTGTGACTTAAATTAATATAAACTAGAGGACCCATGCTGCTCCGCAGCGTTGAAATAAATATCATATCCAAGAAATAATCAAAGTTATCATTTTTGATTGAGTGTAGTAATAATAATAATAATCTTGAACTTGTGTTCTTTATAAAAAATGTGTAAACTGATTAATTGGAAGCCCCCAAAATGAATAGATTATAAGGTAGAGGACCCATGCTGCTCCGCAGCTCGAAATAAATATTATATCCGAGAAATAATCAAATTTATGATTTTTGATTGAGTAATACAGTATCTTGAACTTAACTGATTCAAATCGATTAATATCTAAAAATTAAAGCCTATAATTTACTGATTATTTGGAGTCTAAAACATATGAAAAAAAACATAAACAATGCTAGATCTATTGATTTTTAATCATAGAAAAACCTTTTATGTTGGTTGTCCACCTTTCGTTTGCTTGAAACTTGTCGGATTTGTGGCTTAAATGATAGCCGGCATTTCACTGAAGGTTCTTAGACCAAAATATGTAGGATTATATAATTATAACTGGTGAAAATACATCTTAAATAGTTGTAAGAATTAAAAAAAAAATTAATTTATATTTTGATCAAGTAATACAGTAGATAAATATGAATATAAATGAAATCTATCGTGCATACTATCAATTCGAGACCTCAATCATGAAAATCGGTCGGGTGAGCCAAACAAACTCCGAAAAGAAAAAAAAAACAAATTTAACTCCCTTAAGAAATACATGGGGAGCAAATTTTGTTTACGTATAAGCCGAGTGGGACTGTAGACAAATATATGCTGATGGTTGATGTGAAAATCTGTGGGTGCATACCTTCAATTTGAGATCTCAATCATGAAAATCGGTAGAAGAACTAAAATGAACTCGTAAAAGAAAATTCCAAATTTAACTCCCATAACCTAGGGAGCAAATTTCGTTTACGTATAAGCAGAATGGGACTGAAGTACTGAGGATGAAATTAAATTTTTGTGTTGTACGTGGTTAACCATTACTGTGTTCATCATACCCAGTCTTCTTGTATCCAGTCTATCAGGTTCTGCTGGTCAGGATCTTCCCTGTAGTGAATGATGAAGGCCTGGAATCCGGACGTTGCTTGTAGTTTGATCTGTAACCAAAAGATCAATAGGTATATTAAATGACGTTTCATTTGTAAATAGAAAATAGTGACAGATAATAAATTAACATATCAGCAAACTGACATTTACTTTCCCCCATTAGCTTCTGTACAAACCTTGTAATGGGTAAGTGGAGGGAGTAACTGTTATTTCATGGGTAAAATAAAATAAAAACTTCAGTAACCTTTTAACCTTTTTACAGCATTAGGGGTTGTATGGTTTTGCTTGGAGGTAAAAGGACCATAACATACGAAGTTAATCAAAATCGTTTGAGTTGTTTTTGTAAAAATCCTAATTTTCTGCTTTGCGGCTACTTTTGTGATATAATATTTACCAAAGATTGATGAAGTTGAAGTTAGAAATTAAAATAAGCAAAGTAATAAAAATATGAGAAGTGGTATTTTACAAACATTTCTTATACTGTAATACCAAACTGAGGGAGTGAAAAAAATAATTAAAAATAAACTTAGCCAAAAGCCACAAATTGAACACTTAAAATTCACTTATATTTCATGACCTCACAGCTCCGACTACTGATTTCCCACATCTTTTTCTCAGTTGTTGTTTCTCAGTCGAAGTCGACAAATCTGTGCTGCAATTGATAATTGTGTTGACCTTCACCATAGACCTGCGGTTTTACCTTGGTGTCAGCAATTACATGGTACTGACTAGAGAGTCATGCTTCACGAGTAATCAAAACTCAGGGAACTACAGATCTTAGAACCGGTTCATTCCTGTTTCTTCTTTCTCCAAAGTGATAGCACACAAATAAGCTATTTTACATATTTTTTTGTGTAAAAATATTGAACTTGAATTTAAGAAGAACGTTCTAGGTCTTTTTTTGCAACTGAAAAGTAATTTATGCAACAATCCCATAAAGATAGTGTTACCAACACGAGTAGAAAGTTTAAGGTACGAGCCTTAGTGAGTGCCTTAAAAACTTCTACAAGTGTCGTTAACACTATTTACGTGAGTTGTGTACACTACTTTACATTTAATTTTAATTACTAATAATCACTCCTCAAAACCTCTAAGAGAGGTTATGTTTTTATTTATAACCTCTCATTGCCACTGACAGTGATGCATTGACTCATTGTACCTATCACTAATTGCACCGAGATATAACAATTAAATTGGTAAACAGCTGATTAGTTTAAGTTCGAAGCATTACAATTTTACTCTCTCCCTTGAACCTCATTGGTCCGTTACCCGTGTTGTTAAGTAAAAAAAAAAAAAAAACTATGCAGTTATGAAGTAAACAATGCTGTTATGTGAAACTTTTCAATTCTAAGAACTGAACTGAAACAGCTACTTTTAAAAACAGTTTATGTAAAATTGTTTTTGCATTTGTACTCTTGAATTTCACACATAATGTAACAAAGACGTAAATTTATTTGAATATAAACTTCACCTACAATTTACCACATCCTCAAATTGGTAATTTAATATAGAATACATTGTTTGAAGGCTTTTAAGTGTATGGGAGAAACAGAGCCACAAGGAAACTAAGAACAAAATAATAATAAATAAGGGAGCATAAAAAAGGGCTTTGTTCTGACATAAAACCAATTTCCTCACATCAAAGGCAGAATAAAGTAAATATGAAAAGCAATTGTTTCAAAGGGAAGGTTTAAAAGAACTTCCCCTTGTGTTTTTTTATAAATCATACATTTCACATCTTTATAATGCAAATCTTGGTACAGTATAGTATTCTTAGCTTGTTCAACTCAACCATACAGTACGGTACTTAACTTTATCAAGAATTTTTATTTTTAATTGTTATACACTCTTTCTTGGCTAAAGTTATCAAATCAATAGTTCAAGTTTCTTGCTATGTTAACTAAGTAGCATTTTGATGTGGAAACATTGCAACTTTTGAGAAAACAAACCGGTTGGCTATTTCTGTTTGACGAAAATAAAAATTTTAAATCTACACTATAGCTGAGTGAATACATTGCTGACCGAGTAATTAGGCCACTGGTTCGATCCTGAGAAAAGCAAAGAGATTGACCATGGTTCAACACTATAAGCTGCAGTTTATCAAATGGTCTTGGCTATATAGTCAGCTTATATTATACTGTATTGATCAGCTTGTGGGCTTCACTCACCTTAATTTGTTAGTGTTTAGTTTGTTAGTGTATGTTAGTGTTTTGGTTGTTAATTGGTTGGTGTACGTCTCACCAAACTAAAACCTGAAAATGAACAGCAAAACACAAAAAATATTATCTATAAAATTCCTTGTTCGTGTGGTAGAAACTACGTAGGGCAAACGTCAAGGCCAGTGACGGTGAGGATTAACGAACACGTTAAAAAGGTTAAAAATAAGGATAGGTATGGCTCGAGAATCTGTGAACATGTATTAGAGACAAATCATACAGTAAAATGGGATTCCAGCAAAATTCTATACAAAGAACCGGATTGGAGGAAACGGAACATGGCAGAGTCGCTATTTATGGCTATTGAAGATGAGCCTCTATCACGACCATCGGTGGATGTTAGTACTGTTTATTTACCAATAATTAAAGAAGAACTAGAACAGCTGAGAGACAAGGAGACAAGGCCAAGGATGTCAAAGGCTTATCTACAATAACCAGTACGTCCACCAACCCCCCTGCCCTCCCCCCCTCTACTGGAACAGCTGATCCGGCAGTCGTGGCGTTCGGCTCGTGTACGCGAGAGAAACAAAGTTTTAATTCCCTGAGGAAGCGGGACGTTATCTTGGTCCCGCGAAACGTCGGAGTAAATTAATCCAAGGACGATTTTTATGTGCGTGTATGTGTGTTTGTGTCTTCGTTGTGTTACATTTGACGAGTCCTGGATTAACAAATTAAGGTGAGTGAAGCCCACAAGCTGATCAATACAGTATAATAAACCTCGCCTAAAAAACATGTCTTTCAAAAATAGAAGTACAGCTTATATTAGTTAGCAAGAAAGCTCATACTCCAATCAACAATAATCAAATGGAATATAATTACTAAATTTTTAAATACAATACTCACCCAATCTCTAAATATGAATAGCATGAACACTGCAGTTATTTCTAGGAGCAAAATCACAGCAAGGAAAAAGGCATACTGAAAAAAATCATTACCATTAGTGAAGATTTTTTTTTTAGAAAGACAAATAATACTTTGTTCAATTCCTAGCATTGCATTATGGTTCTAATTCACTATACAGATTCTAATTCAATTTCATGTAGTATGGTTAAGTATTTTTTTAAACAAATTAATTAGTGTTACAACAAAATAACATGGCGGGATTAATTTGATACATACATTTCATTAGTCCAATCTAATTTCCTATGCATTAACCACATCATTAAGATAATAACATGAGTTCTGATTAGTAACATTTACATCGGTGCAAAACAAGTCCTAACCTAATTGGTTTCAGAATTAGCTATACAATTTGTTTTTTTCCAATTGCAAAATTTGATTTTTTCCAACTGCACTGTTTGGTTTTTGTGCAGTACAGTAAGTCAGTGTATATATTCATTGAATAGTCTTAGTGGAGTAAACGCCCACACTGAACTGTTTTAACACGGTTAGTAAGTTTTCCTTTAATTTGAATACAAATATTTAAAATGTAAACAAAATCTTCAAGCCTTATACTAGAAATTAAGTTTGGTGATACAATGATGAATTTTACAACTATGTTTTATGAGAAACACTCACTGCGGCCAGGAGACAAGTATTCTCTCTGAGAGCTCCAACACAACCGGTGAACCCGATTATGAAAGTCACAGCCCCTAAAAAAAATATTAAACTTTACTGCAAAATTCATTAGTTCGAACAATCTGTCATATTTGCCAATACTGTTCAATGAAACTCCAAAATCTTTAAAGATCAATTTCTAATGTCCATGAAAATAGATGGCATTATTTAATATGTTTAATAGTGATTGTTCCAATTTTATAGTTTATTGTTTCAGTCTCCCATTTTTTGTAAGTAAATTAAATCATTTTCAAGTTTAAAGCTTCCCACTAATTTATCCCCCCCCCCCCCTACTATAGAGTGTAACAAAAATAACCATCGTGTAGATATAAAGTCAATGGTTTTAGCTATCAATCTCTTTATCTGTCAAACTTTGCAATCCCCTAATCCCAAAAATGTGTTGCCAGTTTTGTTTATGGTATAAATTCACTATGCTCATATTCAACCTCACACATTTTGCCGATAACAAATTTAAAAAGAAAACCGTGGTTTCGATCTTTCTTTTACAATACATCCACCAAACTATTAACATGTAACATGTATTTTAAATAATGTAGGGACGAGGATTTAGCTTCATACTCTGGTTGTACTTAGACAAAGATTTAGCTTCATACCCTGGTTTGTGAGAGAATAAATTCCAGCCTTAAAAGTTGAAAGAAGGTCACCAAGTAGAGAAATAATTTACAACTGAGTTTTAATAGAGGAAGTAACTGTAGTTAAACATGCAACTCCCTGGTTTAGTCCTATACCAGCATCAGATAACTGACAATAAATGGCTATGGTGAAACACAATATACAACTAGAGGATATTGTCATTATATTAAGAGCAAAAATCAATTCAACATTTTTATTCATTACTAGTTTCTACGAACAGCACAAAATCATATTCAAACATGTAGAATAACTACTTTTAATAAATTTAAAATACATATCATAACAATCGTTGGCTTTATGGATATCCTACAGTAGGCTATTTAAAAAAAAACCATTGTATTTTCTGATCAGTAAGTAAACATACGAACCAGCTGTAGCCAATGTTCTATGTTCTACATCACAAGAACATAGTTTAATGGATGAACCCCCACAGAAGGTGCTATCGTATAAAATTTTTGTCTATGATTAAATACAGGTTGGTCCAAAAAGAACTGACACATTTTAAAATACATTTTTATTTACAAAATTTTAACTGCATGGTATAATTTACATACGTACAGATAGAAAACTCAAAAAGTTTTTGGTGGCATTCGATAAATCTCAATATGGCCCCCATTAAGACTCTGATGCCAAATCTAAATTCAACCTCCCACCAAACATTAACATTAAGTGAAGGTGTGTGATGTTATAAATTTTGATTTAACGCCGCCGACAGAGCCTTAAATAGTGGCCATATTGAGATTTATTGAATATCACCAAACACCAAACAATTTTTGATATGTTTTACTTATGTTAAACTTTCTGTTATTAGTTTTATATAGTATTAGTAAATTGACAAGAGTTATCCTGTAAAGCAGTATATACTGAGGAACGCTTGCTAAATAAAGGCATTTTTGATTTGATTTGATTTGTTCTATCTGTACATAACTTAAATGTAAATGTCACCATTTAGTTAACATTTTGTGAATAAAAATTAATGTTAAAATGTGTCAGTTCTATTTGGACCACTCTGTTATTTTTACACTTTATATTTTCACCCTAAGTTTTCAATATTATGACATCTTTGTTTATGTGATATAGAAGATACTTTATTCACAAGTAGGTTGGTTAAAGCTTGATTTTGTTTAATAAGTTAGCAAATTTGAGAGAAACAAACTTTACACCTGTGTACAATTTTGGTTGTTCAATTTTGTTCTAAAACAATGGTATGAAACATTGAACTCATGGTTGTGGTATGTATAGTTGCTAGTTCAATCCTTAGTCAATAGTATAACCTACCAGTGATGATAAGTACGAAGGCAGGATCAAGTGCGATGTTGGCTAGCCTGCTAAGGTTGTTGAAGGTATCTTTCTCTGACCAGGCCCACACTCCGATAGACAGGATACCCAGGCCTACCAACTGTAAAGAAAGAAATACCAATGTTAACAATCAAATGGCATTATGAATTGTGGTTGGTAAACATAATAAATTATTGTTTTGACAGAATTTTTTGAAAACATCAAAGGATAAAGAGAGTTTTTTTATTATTGAAAGTAAATTTTACAGTCACACCTTTTACAAACAATGTCTAGTTAGCTGAAAGTTTTATATTTATTTTTTCTTTAACGAGTATGAATGGTTGACTGTATCCAATATAGTAACATACTGTACCTATAAAATTATTGGCCCATTTCTATTGACGATGATATACTTTTTTTATTTTTAGAATATCTCGCTTCAGTATATTAGAAAAGGGATTTTTTCTGGACATTCATATTGAAAAGACATTTTAGGGATATACAAAACATACCAACAACAATAAAGTAAAAACCAGTCTCTGTTTTGTTCTGTCTCCAAAACACAAAACAGAAACAAACTCATTTCCTTGGCTAGGATTGTTACCCATCTCGCTAGTTATTTGTTCTTTGGAAAATTCTTTGTTATTGAGAAACAGATATCCTGGAATTATGTTTCTGTAACTGGACTTCTTTTTAAATATTTTTTTATATTTGTGATATTTTCTATCATTGCGCAATAAATACAACCGTAATTTACAAATAACAATAATAAACATTTATATACAATAATCCTATACTCTTCTATGAGCAATTTTTGCTTGTATATATGCTTGCACTAAGTTCTCGAAAACGGCTTCACGATTTCCTTCAAATAATAATTTATATTTGGCCTAAACACTTGTTTCCTGCAGTAAAAATGCCAACATAAATCTAATTACATAACAATTTAAATTGAAAGTCAACATTTTTAACATTGGCTTTATGGGCTGACAAGTAAACAAGTTGGTTGAAAAAATAACAAGGAAATAGTTAAAAAAAAGACTTAACATGTGTTTATAACAAGCCATCCACAGTATATTAGCAATTACCAAATACAGGACAAAGGGAAAACCGTTGTTACTATTGAGCAAAGATTACACTGAAGATATCTCGATATAGGGGTACAATGGAAATCAACTATACAGAACCATGGCTGCGTCTCCAGATACTAAACAATTAGGTAAATTGAAAGTTTTTTTAACAAGGATATTAAAAATCACCTTTTATGCAAAAACTTGATAAATGTATTCCAACTGATGTATTCCATTTGGGAAAATAATGTGAAAGAGGGAAATTAATAACAGATAATTTTTAATTTACACTTTACAATGGTACCTATCTATACGTTAAGACCAATAAACTTGTTTGGTAATAAAGCAGAAATCATTCTTGGATACCGCAGATTAAAAATACTTATTGTAGATTTGTCAGACTCAGGGACTATTATTCATATGTGTAACCATAACCACACATAAATGGTGAGTGTGTTCTGATGTTGCCATTCATATATTCCTAATTTTTAACCAGATCTTTAAAACTATTTTACCAAATAAGGAAACGTTTGTAAACAACTCATTGGTTTTACGATTATTTAACCCAAAACAAGAGAGGAATGTTCAGTAGCATCAACTGCACAACATGACTGGGCATTGATATATACATAAAAAAATGCCATACTTAACAATAGGATGAGCATACCAAAGACGCAAGTCAATAATATTACAAAAACCAATTTTTTATAATTTGTCTTTTGGATTTAACTTTTGTTTCAATGGCACTACTGAGAGATGGCAAACAGGGTCACAATAAAATAGACCTTTGTGACAGTGGATTGGACAGGGCTGTAGCGTCCCAGGGGCATCACATTCACACACGCAGCTCTTGTATACACAAACACACTCACACCAACACGTTTAGTCACACTGGATTCATCGGTTTTAACCTACCTTGCTTCACGAATACAAACACTGAAGGGATCCATAAGTGTACTATATTAGAAATTAGCAAAAAGCGAACTGAGGGAAAACTGACTGAGGAAAATGGCTTAGTAAACGTCAGCAGTACTAAGAACTGGAGAAGGAAATAACGTAGTTAAACTAACTTGAATCAATTTAATAAATTACTCTTCTCAGAAACAGTCAAGTTAATCATGTACAATTGTATTATGATCATGTGGAAATACGTGTGTATTCAGATTGAGGAAAGATTGATTCAATCAAATTTCTGAATAATTATGTATGTTATCCTTTCTAAATAGAGAAGGATTTTAGACACGTTTAAACCTCTGATTTGAAGTGAAGTGGGCTTAGGTTATGTTTATTGGCTACATATTCAACATAAACATGGATTTACCGAGAAGGGAAATACAGTAGTTAAAATAACCAGTGGCGGTTCCAAGGGGGGGGGGCTACAGGGGCTAAAGCCCCCCCCCCTTGGACCCTGGAAAAATAAATTTAAGAATACATTTAATTCTTAAAATAAGCAATCTCATAAAACAGACATAAATGTAGTTTTTATTAAACTTAAAAGCGATGGCAGGAGTAGTATTAAGTCCCCACATAGATAAATTTTGTGGACACTACACACTAGCATAACGAATCCTTATATACAGGGTGTTTTTTTTTTTTAACTTGCATCATTATTTATGTAAAAACCGCAATATATAGAAATATGCAGTATGCGGGAATCATCTATTGACGTAGGGGGCCCAATTGTTTTGAATTCAACGTTACATTCACATTCCCCCCCTGCCCACAACTTATTTTTTTCAAATAGCAAGGTACCCCTTGTGACATATCAAATGAAAGAGCATGAAAAAAGAAAATGTTTGGTGAAAAAAAATTGAAAATCGGATCATGAATTTGTGAGATAATCCCCCCCTTTCCCACTACCGATAACTTTTTTTATAATAGCAAGGTACCCCTTGTGACATATCAAATGAAAAAATTTCATCAAACATTTTCTTTTTTCATGCTCTTTCATTTGATATGTCACAAGGGGTAAGCTACCTTGCTATTTAAAAAAAGTAATGGGTAGGGGGAAAGGGGGGGATTATCTCACAAATTCATGGGCCGATTTTCAATTTTTTTTTTACAACTTATATTTTTCCTCATGCGGTAGCACCAGTAGCCTATATTACCATTGACTATATATATACAGGGTGACAAAAAAGTCTGGAAGCGGCTTGATATCTTTTTAACTAAATTCTTTAGAAAATTCAAACCTTTCAAATCAACCTTTGAGTATGAAAACTACTTTTTGCAAGCATTTCCATGTTTTTACCTTCATCAGGGGACGGCCCATGAGGAGTAGGTACATAATATTTAATGTAGGCATAGATTGATATGGATGTCATTTTAGAGGTCTGGTCAAGTGGAGTTCATTGCCGGAAACCGCGTCAAAAAAGGTTCATCCGTTACAAAATGGCAGCAGTCCAAAGTTATTGCGAAACATACCTGCAGAGGCCTTAGTATTGGTAAATCCTCATAGTCAACAACAGCCGGGAAATCTGACACCCGGTTAAATTTGTTTTGAAGATTGAATAATATTAGTCTATTAGCTAGTTGACTTTAAAATACAATTTCAGCTCTCAAGCTAACGTTTAAAACGAATATTTACCAAAACTAAGGCCTGTGCAGAGTGCAGGTATACTCCACAAGAACTTTGGACAGCCACCATTTTGTAACAGATAAACCTTTTGAGACGCGGTTTCCGGCAATGAACTCACTTGACTAACCCTTTAAGATGATGTGCATCCGGTGTCCGGAAAGATGGGGACGAGGAAACTTAGGGACACGGAAACTTGGGGACAAATCGGGTTTTGAGCCGAGGGGGAGGGTTGAGTAGTATTTGCGCCGAGTAGTATTTGCGCCGCGTAGCACCAGCGCCGCGCCAGCTAATTAAATGAGGGTTAGCAGTTTTGACAGGTTAACAATGGCGGAACCAATCAACTGCACTAATAGGGTTATTGAGGACTTATGTTCCTACCACATTTTACTTTCAGCGTAAAGTGGTTGCACGCAGTCACCTCGTGACCCATGCTAATGGTTACACATAATTTTAAATCTAATAATTGCAAATTGATGCCACCAAAAATATCGTTCACTGATTGACAACAATTCACAGTACACTCCACCGTTTCAGTATAAGGGCTACCTAAAACCAATTAACTACCAATAACTCAACAGAGAGGAAATTACGAAAAAAAATTAGTTTGTAACTGTACCAGGTTTGGTAGTAATACATCGCGCTTCGTGAACCCTGGGAGTTGAGACAGGCCTTATATCAATTTAAGTTTATCTTAAGTCTAGAAATAAAAGTACATATTAAGTTTACAAATTAACTCTCTAAAACGTGTAGTGGCAATACCACAAAGATACCTCACTTTAGGCGTTTTTCCCCTTAAGAATAACATGGGGATCATTTTTCAGCCACTAATTCCAAAAATCCTGATATTTGCCTACATATCCCTACATATAATCCTCATATAGTATATTCAAAATCAAGCTAAAAAAGCTAATTCTTTAATTTATTTACCAATTAAATGTAAAGTAGGTATAACATAGTAATATGACCTCACTTTAGGCACTTTTTCTCCATAAGAATAACATGGATGAGTTGATTTTAGCCATTTTCTAAAGACCCTGCTTTCGGCCTATACAAGCCCATATAAATGTTCAATACTATTGTACAACTCAATAAACATTACAAATCCCCATGCATTCCCACGAATATTTAAAAAAATCATTAACTTGACGGTGCGAGGTTTGCACGTGAACTCGGGCGCGCTCCCGGCCTATGCTTATCGCTTCTCGTGCGATTTTGATTAAATTTGGCATGAATGTGTAAGGTTGAATCACCTTGATTAAGTTTACGAACCACCAATATCGGAATGAAGCCTGTTGTTATTTACCTACACATATAGGTCCAATATAAATAAATTAACGATACTTACGTCTTCTGTATCAAAATGTCAAATTCGCAAAAAAAATTGATGTTTTTAGCGAATTCCCTATAGGGAAGTAGCTATTACCGTAGGTGGCACCGCACCGACCTATGTCCGTGACCAATTTACTTTTTATT